ATCATCCTTCCGGCTCTGCAATGGTCTTGTCGACCGAAAGGGCCTAACCCAACAAAACAAACAAACAAACAAACAAGCCCCCTCCCCTACGGGGCGCGGGTTGTTGTACCAGCATGCATCATTTGGCATCTCCATTAGATACTCTCTCACAAAACGGTACAAGCAGACGTTTTGATCGGCACTTTGAAGCAGCCCTTCCTGACGTCAAGAAGTGGGCTCGCTGCCCGCCAGTAGCTTGTCTTTCTTAGCACTGCCGACGAAAGATCGTCAATGCATGCGAATGGAAAACTAATTATTTGCCCTCGTTTTTGTCGACATGCCGTGGCAAAAGTAGTATGTCCTGGAAATTGGAATTATACGTTTGTTGTCTTTGGCGATGTTGGGCGACAAATTAGTTAAAAGAATGTTTACGCATCCTGCCAAAGGAGACAAAATATTTTTTTTTCTAAAATTCTGCTTATTGTCAGCATGTAGCTAACATGAATGCTAACTGTGATATTTTCCCTATAGAGCTGTTAAAAAAAGTTCAGTCGCAGGGCTCGGATCTCAAGGTTGGTCGTTTTATTGTTTAGCTGTCACGCACTACGAACTGTTTTTTTTTCCTATTTGTGTTGCCTATCTCCAACTGAAGCTTCCACACTTTATTAACTTTACATACATTTAAAAGGTGCTATGAAGCTCACCAGCCTGACCAGGTTGATTACCTTTCAAACCACCGCTAAGATACAGATACTCTCCTTCAAGTTTGCAAAATGTGAAAGCTTCTGATAAACATCGGTCTATGCTCAAAGTCAAGTCCCTTCCCAGTGCCAAAGTAGACGGAACTTGATATGTTCGTTCTTATTCGCCTCACGCTCGACCCAGCCAAGGTCCGTATGTAAGTGACTAAAATGGGAAACTGTCGGGACTTGTTTGTGCCTTACCCAGCCTGTCTAAGTTTTTTTTCAGAGACATTCGAGTTCGGCAAATCGCACAGAAGCCGTCAATTCAGGGAGTGCCAAAATGAGTCGCACGGAATGTTATAGAAATAGGGGACGGCATAAAATGAACGCTTATCATTGCCAAATTGCACACATTTTTTATTTCCTTTCCTGACCACAATTAGTCGATGTGACCTGAAATCTTGGCGTATAACAGTTTCAGACAATGACAATAGCACCAGCTATAGATATCCATACGTCTGTCTAGCGTAGTTGGCAGTTGCTGTGCTGGGGCGTCACAGTGTATCTGATTGAAGGCCAGCTCAATGTATTCGCTACTGGAGGAAACAACCTTCATTATGCTGCGAGGATAGGTACATCTTGCGTCTCTCATCCCGCCCAGTGATCAACGTAAACCATTTAAACTGATTTTAAAATGTGAAAACTGATTTTCATATGACCAGCCATGACGAAGACAAGGTTACTAAAATGCCTATATAGTGTGTCTTAGGTATTTAGTAGCCGTTTTCACGACGAAATAGCGGGTACCTAGCGTGCGTTCGACATCCGGAAAATGAGGGAAATTATCCGGGATCACCGGTGATAATCTGGTATTGCAGGGACTATCGATGCAATTAGTCATATTTCTATAATGTTTTTGCTTCAGTAATGGCTCTTTTACTCGTTGGCATGTCCGTTGTGCACGGTGTCAGCCTAAAACACCGAATGATCCCGTTGATCCCGGAAAATTATCCTTGATTTTCCGGATGCCGAGCCCACGCCTAATAGATACTTGTTTGGTCCGTTGATACCTCAGGTAGTTCTTTATAGTAGGCTTTCCACCTTTCGAATGAGTGGCCCGTTACTTTGCTGTTTTTCTACTAAATATTACATTAATTGATTTATCCAAGAGTTTACCACTCATGTAAACCTAAAGCGTAAGCACGTTTATGAAATTCTCAAATCTATATAGTGCTAGTACAATGATAAGGCAATATACTGAGCTGCCAGCTGCAGATGACCGAGCTCTCCCAATTCCACGTTGGCTTGGCTGTGGAGCCGCAGCAGACGGCGGAAGTCAATGTCACTGCTAAGGTGGCGGCGGATTTGAGCTCGAACGAAGTGTAGAAAAATATTTTGAAGGCAAAAGACTTCAGTTGTAAGCATTCTAATGCTTAAAGGGTTGGTATTTTTCAGGCATCAAATAGGTTCCAGCGCGAAAGTCCCGTCGTGAAAACGGCCAACATGTCTCTATTTTGTAGAAGCAATTGGCAGGTTGTGGTTGACTGCTGGTGGCCGTCGCAATTAATTATGTCAAATCTATTCGAAATTCAATTTGATTTTCCAAACGTGCTTACCAGTCGCATACTATGCGTGTGATTAATGCGATTTGCGTATAATTAATAAAGCGTCAAAAGCATGATGGTGCTTTCAAACTCCATTAGACAGACCTTTGAAGTCTCTGAAGTCTGAACTATAAAGCCATATTTGCTCGCCACTTGATAGATATATAATAGACCATCGAATACAACATCCATTGATTCACACCCGAGTGTGCTTGGCTCATCCTGACATTTTATATGTTTTTTTTTTTGCCGGGTTTTTAGATATGTTGTACTATAGACCTCTATAACGAGGTCCATGGGTCTATGTACACCAGTATGCAGCGGTCTGCATGCGTTTATACATTTCGTTTTTGCCAAGGTTTCAGCGAAGAGCTAATCAGTGGAGCAGAGTTGAAAAATAGCATAAATATTGGTTTTATTTAACCCGCGAGTTGCTGGGGGGGGGGGGGTGTTAAACACCCCGACTTTTTTCGCCGGGCCATAGCATAAAAACGGCGCGCCGCAGGCGCGTCAAATTTTAGGTACCTGTAGGGAATTGATTGAAGTTTATTGTGACAAAGTTTCAAAAAAAATCGGTCGGAAAATTTTTGGGATATCGAGGTTTTAGTGACGTCATGATTTCTGAGCTTTCGACCAAAAACGGCATATGTTCAAAAAATCATATAAAATCACAAAATAGACATACAGATATGCCGTAAACGCCATTAGACTGCCAATACCTTGAACAATCAAATGGCTATCTTTGATTATTGATTATCGTTCCGAATTTTCCAAAATCTTGAACTGAATCTTGGCAATTTTTCGTGACTACTTCACGACAATGATACATGTGCATTTATTAGAATGAACTTTTTGAGCCAAAAACGTACACATATGATAAGATGAATGTCACCATCATGTTCTACGCCCCACATTACTCACAAAACATGTGTCACAGGCTGCGAATATCAGTTTTGATTTTCGGGGATATGTGCCTACCCGGTTGACCTGACCTTGACCCTGACCTATGCTTGACTGACCCCTACATGGAGCTGACACCCTTGTAAGCCTTATATGATGGATTGTGCACCGTTTCGACAGAGTTTATGACGAGAGGCGCCCATTGCGAAGTCCTGAAGTCCATGCTACTGAAAGCCAGATTTCAGGTGTTTGACCTGACCTTGACCTGGCCTGTGACCTCGAAATTTAACTTTAAAGTACTCATCTGAAGCGTCTCGTCGCGTTCTTTCGTTTGCCGCCTGGTGCGTTTCGCTGCGCCTATTGGTTCTCGAGTTATCGGCTGGGGGCGTTTAACGCCCCCCCCCCCCCCCAGCAAACGGTGGGTGGCGAAATACCCCAGCAACTGCCGGGTTAATTTTGTGTTAGACTGTTCTCGTTACATGACAGCTAACTAGGTATATGAATTTCAAATTTGACTGCGAAAACAGCTCCTCTGCTCGCAGATACTAATTGATAAACATCGCATCACCCCGAGGCTCGAGCAATGCACATTTCGCTGATATATCCACAATCCAACGAGCTTTTTCATATGGCAGCTTGGCTGGTAGGGGCACACAAGTGGTTATTGCATCTGCTTTTGTAAACCCAATCTACACTGGATGCATAATTTGCATTTAACCTGTAAATACCTACAAATGACTTTGTCAAGCTCAATGATAATGGTAATGCATAACTGTCGAGACTAAAAAAGCATCACCTTACACGTTCAGTAAGTAAAATGTGTGAACCAACTGTTTTTTTTCCAAGCATGTTTTCGCGCAATTAAGATAAATTTAGTAAGCGGCAGAAACGGAACTTTGCCCAGGTTGCGCTAATTAGTTTGAAATTAGCGGTCAACTTTCTTGACAGATCGGTCAGTTTTGCTTCAAACTTTTCAGCGGCCATTGCAGGAACTCTGGGTCACTTCATTAATATTTTATCCGACTAAAACAACAACTGGGGTTGAGGTGACTGATGCACCAAAGAGATCAAATATAACTACTTTATCCCATTGAACGCACCAGATTGTTCACTTAGTTTTTAGTACAGAACGCAGCCTAGCAACCTAATAGCAATTGGCACCATTTGAAACGGATATGTCTGCAATAAACGTCAATTAGTAAAAACAGGCCTTGCATGGCAAAAATGTCCTGATGCGATTCGCTATTCGGTACTTGTCATTCCCTCTTCACGTCCTTTTGCAAATTTCATTCCCATCCCATTTTCTTTATCCTCGCGTTCAGCGAAAACCATATACATGTATTTGCAGCTTCTCGTAATGGGTGAGCATTCACAGACCACGTAGTCCAGGGAAAGACCGGCAGAGAGTCCTAACTACATTATGTGTTTTGCGTCAGCTGGCACGGGAACCGTTGCCACGCATCCAGGAGATCAATATCAGAGACCAGTCCGATTCATTTGTGCTGAAATACACGAACTGTGGGCGGTGGGGAGAGGCTGAGATCGAATTCCCAGGTTCTGGCCAGGTTCTATCCGTGAAATTCTCCTTATCGTTTCAGCCAGACTCGTCCATTTAAAACATCTATAGAACAGTTGATGATATTCGGTTAGACCATCTTTCCGCGATCGGTTATCGATGCTGTACCATTATCTGAAAGCTGTGTCTGTAATTCATGTATGTTCAATGCCGATCACCTGGTATTCTGAAACATTGTATGACTTGGTTGTAGGTGATTGTATTTATTGGTTCAAAAGACGTAATCTGAAGTGTTTTTGTATCTCGTTGTTTCCCTAGGCTCTCGGCCAGCAGTTTATATTCGTCATTCGAGGATCACTCCTGAAACAAGGCCTGTGGAATATGGAGACACAACTCAGTTGGGAGAAGTTATTCCAGGTAAGGTGTTTACACCACGCCATATAAAAGAGGTACAGAGAAAAGGAGGCGTCAATAACAAGCATGATGCTGCAGGGCTTCGGTTTTTACGGCGCTGAAAATGACAATAGCTGCAGATGTATTAGAAATCCTATATGATATGACATAACTCGGAGGACTTCTGCTTTGGTCTAAAACACTTCCGCATCTCGCAATATTACCTTACTTGAAATTGAAGCAAATATGCGTAATGTCCGAGGAAATAAACATGTTTTAAGCATTCTCATTTTAAAAACACTCCCATATTTTCGTTGGGTTTCTTTCAGTGGATCAGCTGCGCGCACGCCCAGGCCATCTCCGACGCGCGCGTGAGGGACTCAGCCTCCCCTCCGCGAAAGGTCGCGCGAGGGGAGTCATCGTCGACCCGGCGACGCACCGAGAAAGTCATCACCAGCGTCCTATAGTTCAGCGTCTCAGCAGCAGCCGAGCGCCGCTCGCGGCGGGCAGCGCGGCTCCCAACAGCTCCGCCAAGATAATGACCTCATCTGAGCCACCACGGCCGGGCGAGCCGGTTGGAGGCGGCTGTGGGCCGGTCGGATAAGAGTCCTTCACCTCACCCCCTCGAGGAGAGCCCACGTCAAGGGGGGGGGGGGCTGCTCGTCAGGTCGCTCGACGTCGATAGCCGCCGAGTCGATGGGCCCGTGTTTATCGCATTTAGAGGGCGTGCAGCCGTCAGTACGTCGATTGCTGAGAACCCCCGATACTGACGAGCCGGCGAACGACGATAACCGTAGGCTTAGTGCCGGATTGGATCTGTGGTAGTCGTTATTTTGATGTTGAACCTATACGTAGGCAGTGACTGAGTTGCTATCTAGCATGAATCTATCTTTCTAACAGAATGCATCTGTCTGTTGATCATGAAGTCATTCTCAAGCCTCACATATTTTTCTTACGGCATACTTGTTTCACTTAGAGGCCAGTCGATGTCAGCGCTTGTAATGTAACGTCATGTCATATTGGAGACTGATGTAAATCGTAAACAAATACAGGAGCAAAATCCCCACTGATGCTCGATGCTGTATTCAGCTTCATTTGTCTGAAAAGACGAAAAAAAACTAAGGAGACGGAATCGTCATGGAGCGCTAATTATATCATTTTGCTTGCCTATAGACTCTCAGAAATGACGAAAGTTTTCTTCCGAGCGATTCTTTTTTTATTTTCATAGTTGTGCTTGTTTGAATGGTGATTTTTTTTTGCCTCCGAATAAGCATTACCACGCTCTTCATATGATTTACACCCACACTGAAAACAATTCAACCCGCGGATTGCGAGTTGGCCCGAGTATCGCGGGTATTTTGAAGAAATTACCCGCTCTGCGCGAGTTTTTGCTGCCGGGTAGGCTGACTACCCGTTTAGCTTCCCGCGTTTCGCAGAGCATCCCGTTATCATCGTAGCTTTCACCCGCTTCACGGGTGTCAACGCCCGCTATACTCGGGTAAAACAGCAACCCGTCATGCGCGGATACATGAAACCTCCTCTGGCGGGGTCAATCACTCGTCCGCAGCGGGTTGTGGCCGCAGGCGTTACTCGCGCCCACGGAGTAAGCGCATCACGCAGGTTTTGCATCGTGTAACTCGCTGCGCCAAGGTAGGTGACATGCTATACGCAGGTTGCCTTGATCACGCATGTGTCATGGCTGATGACCACGTGGACTTTCTGGATTTTTCTGCGGAACCTGCAGCAGCCTGCTTACGCCGGTCCAAGGCCATGCATGCGCCGGCCTGCTTCAGCCCGCGCAACCCATGTGTTGATGATTTGTGGCGCGTTGTGTAGGCGCCTTCTCTTGTGACCAGATCTGCATCGAAAACAACTTGCTTCCCAAGTTTACGATTGCAAATGAAATATTTGTCCAAACTATTCCTTAATATTTAAAACACTATAGGCGGATTCATGTCAATTGTCTGAGATAAGCCTTTTTACTTTCTGTATTGAGTCCGCCGTCAGTTCTTCATTTTAATCTGATATACACCGACATTTCAGTCGCTTTGGGCCAGGTCGCATGTGGCGCAGTTGGTAGCGCATCGGTTTGCAATATCAAAGATATCGGGTTCGAATCCCGGCGGGTTGGCGGCGTTTTCCTCCTTGAACGCCGCCACCGGAGGGTACTTTACCCTCCAGCTGATTTGGACACCCTACCAGCGGATATTTGTACTCGCAGAAAGCGAGTTCCCAACCCACGCAGCGCAGGTAATACGCCATGTGCGGATTGTGTACCCGCTGCGAACGGGTAGGTTGCCTTCTGTGTGTGGGTTGAGTCCCCATCCTATGCGGGTTAGGTACACAATATACTCGGGTTGACAGCCTGCGATATGCGGGTAAACGCACCCGCTGGTAGGGTGTCAAATTAGGTGGTGGGTAGGTGTACCCGCCAGCAGCGGGTTTTACTCGCTGTGCGCGGGTTGAATTGTTTTCAGTGCATGCAGCATTGCAGCATTACCAGCTTTCTAGCTCAACTCCAAGCTTTACCTGATATACATTTCGAGCACGTAGCTCCACTCACAAAATTATATTCTCTTTTCTCTCCAATTTCCGAGCTACCAGTCTAGTCACGTCCTGCTGTATGTCTGCTGCAGAGAGACCGGAACCAGGCCGTCCTCCCCTGTCGGGCGCTGTGTCAGCGGCAGGTCCTCCCCCTCGTCCGGTCCGCTCGTCCTTTGAGCGTCCCTCCCTCTCCCGGCGTGGATTCGGTCTCCGCCTTCTGAGAGCCACTAGCACTCGCTTTGTTCAGAGATGCCTGAGCCAGCAGCTGTCAATGGCGGAACCGCGGCGGCATCAATAAGGCCGAAGGCGTGAAGCAAGTATCTGGGCTGGCACTCAGCGCAGCTCGGCGATTGTTAGAACAGTGTGCCCAAGAGGGATGTCACCTGTCTTCAGGAGCCTGAGCTGTCGGTTTGTCGGTGTGTCGGTGTGTCAGTGTGTCTGTCTGTCTGTCTGTCTATCTATATGTCCATCTGTCTGTCTGTTTGTCTGTCTGTCGGTGTGTCAGTCTGTCTGTCTGTCTGTCTGTCTGCCTGTCTGTATGTATGTATGCCTGTCTGTCGGTGTGTCATTCAGTCTGTCTGTCTGTCTGTCTGTCTGTCTGTCTGTCTGTCTGTCTGTCTGTCTGTCTGTCTGTCTGTCTGTCTGTATGTCGCGGTCTATCGGTCTGCCGGTCTGTCTTTATGCCTTTCCCTTCTGCTTCTATCTAAACGTCAATCATGTTACCCGACATGGCTACCACACATCAGAAACGTGTAGTGAGTCCCTGGCGCGGAATATCATGCCACAATGAAAAGGAAATAGCAACTCAGCTGAGTGCTGTTACATTCGATTGTAGCATAAATGGAAAGAAGTGAACAATTGCTAAAAAAAATTTGGGGGGAGGGGCTGTTGTAATAATCATTGAAGGTAGTCCGTCAATCATACGGACTACCTTTTGCCAATGAAACAGATGGACTATGGCAATTACACAGGTGACACAGATGACAAAGACGACCAGGCCATTCTTATAAAGAAAAAGGACGGAGGGACGGAAGGAAAAAAAGAACTCAATGAATTAAACGATTCCGTCCTTTTTGGTTATCATAAAGGTTCCGTCCCTCTACCCCTCCCCCTTCGTTGTTTTGCTAGGATGCGTTTTTCGTCTAAATGATCAAGAGCTTTAGTAAATGAAACAGGAATTATTTCCTGCAATATTTTCTTATAAATTTCGTCACAAAGAATGCAATAAGACTAAGAAAATACTGTGTGATCGCTATATGGGTATAATAAAATGAGAACCTGCAATTATTTGGGATCACATTTGAATTTTTATGGGACCGGGGACTGTTGTCTGCTACGATACATAGCCTTGGCCAGAGGCCTTGGCTACGATCAAGGATAATATACGTGCAGATAGGCGAAGTATGTAATATGTTGTAGTCTTTCCTGCTAGGCTGAAACCTACCAAAGATTGTTTTTGCGTATAAATGTGGTAATGTCTATGTCTTACTCAGTGATAGGATGTCTAATAAGCGGTAAGGGAACAACGCAGACACCCTGAGTTAGCGTGGCGGCTCGGGACAAGCGGTAGAGATAAAAGAGGAGGGGATACTGATAAGGCATCTTTCGCTCAAGGGGACGACGCGGCGCGCGGCGAACGCGCGCGGCGGCTCGGGATGAAAGGGAGGGAGAGAGGGAAGGAGTAGGTAGAGAGAGAGAGAGACGGGGGGCGCAGGTGTTGTTTTGACGAACTGACGCTAAAGAGGGGGGAGGGGGAGCGGGGGAAGAAATGGCCTGTGGATCTTCTCTGTGTGGGGACAGCGAGGACAGTCCAGCGAGAGCGCTTGAGCGTGGTGGAGTGTATACGAATTTCTCTGCGTGCAAACAAGAACTTTAAGTGCTAACGAGAAGTTGTAGTGCCACGTGACTCAGACCTCCAACCGTGATACCAGTCGAGGCGCCAGAGGACACAGGACACAGGCCAGGTGAGGGTGGAGCTACTGGGAGGCAGTTGCAAACAGTAAACACCTACCACTTACTGGATATTGCATCTCAAGGTGTCCAATCCTGCCTGTTTATGTGTATGCCCGATAAACAACGATAGCTGCAGAACGATAAGGTGGCGGTCTATAGGTACTTGGTCTGCATGTGAAATTGACTAATTTTCGTGTGAAATAACTCCCGACCAATGTCATACAGTTCACATATTGATTAGCACGCAGCCTGAAACACATTTCGCACAAGTTGCTCTCGCAACTAGCTAAATATCGTATCAATGCCGTAAAAAAGCGCTGCTGAAGAGCAGCGCTATTTCTGATGCGTTATTTTTCACGAACAACGCAAAGTCTTACGTCACCAGAGGCGTCTTTGTCTCTTTATGATACGGAAACGCGTCCTTTTGGGTGGGGGTAGCGTCAATCTGGCTTCGTTCTTTTAACGGGTTCCGTCTTTCGTCTTCGTCCTTTTATGATAACCAAATTCCGTCTAATCTCAGAAATGACGGAGCGTCCCTCCGTTCTTTTCTTTATAAGAATGGCCACAATGCGACTGATCTATCAATGACACGAATGATCTACTAACGACAGATGTGATCTGTAATCATGAGACCTGGCTGCGGTTCGTGCAGATTGCGGGAAGACGTTGTCTTCGGGGCTATGTAAGTGGGTGGCGGAGCTACGGATGCTTGAGCCACTTCTCAGAGTTTACCACAAACTTTGCGTTTTCCGAAATAGTTAGCAACATAATAATTCATGAATAACCGGACATGGGAGGATAATATGCAATTTGTGTAACCTTTACCCCACTATAAGATGCCCTAATATGACACTGAGAAGTCAGCGGACGGAGCACAGCAAATGCTTTATTTTTTAGGCCCTGCCGCTTATCAATTATACGAATTAGAGATATATCCCGCGCACCAACTTAGAACCGACGTGGGGAGGGGGTGATTGACACCCCTCCCTGAGATCTCGAGAACGAAGCAAGATAGAGACAAGCGGTAAACGGCATGGGGTACGCACGGACAAGGTCTACACTTTGTATTAAGATAATTTTCAGGTCAGGTCATATATGACGTCACATGGGCCAAAAGGTAAAAATGGCGGCGCTAGATATAAGGAGTTTTTTTTTCTCGAATAACTTTCGAAGTAGGCAAGCTAGGAACAAACTAGTGGCACCATCGTGATCCTCTCGTCAATCCGCATCGAATCTAATATGTGTTGACTTCAAAAGTTCAAGGTCAAAAGTTGACCTCAGGTCACGTGACCTCAAGGTCAACATGCATATCATTCGATGCGCCTTGACGAACCAAACACGATGATACCATCCGCGTGCTATATCTTATTCCTGTGAGGAGTTATTAGCAAAAAAATATTTGGTATCCCTTGATGACGTCACATGACCTTACAGCTGCCCATTAACACAAAAATCCTCAAAGTAGTCATGGTTGATCGTATATAAGGTCAATCATGGAATATTGGGCCCTTCCGACGCGTTTTAGTGAAAAAAAAACACGGAGTTGGTTTTTCTCCCATTGAC